CATGTTGAACACCACCCACATGATGGACTAGTGATTCAGAGATCAACAAGATGTTCTTAACATACTGATATGGGAGGCAAGACTTACACAGTGGGCTCCATGAGGCCCTGCCAAACCAGAGTCAGGTGAGGCTCTGAGCTATTATGAGGTCTAGGCTTTAAAACAGATTGACAATTTGTCTTTACAACTTCAAACCCCAAGTATCTTATAAGGTCATGCTTCTTCATGCAAGGAAGAGTGAATGTTACTTCTCAGATGGCCAATTCTGATCAATGTGGAGTGGTTGCCTGGAGTCTTATGCTGAGAAGATTATAAAACTCTATGTGTGCTCCACTAGAAAAGAGGCTACGCTAAATTGGCCGTTTCTATCACAGTGTAAGAAAAGCGTGAACAAAGGGTACTACACATTGCTGTCTTAGCCTTCATGTAGAAAATTTTTATTTTCACCATTGTTTTATGACTGTTCATTTCTCAATGGGTCTACACGTTCTACAAATGGCAGCATTGCCTGGAGGAAGGAAGGCCAGAGGCTGGACTCCTCTGAAACACTGTGAGCACAAAGGCCCAGACTCAGGGAGGTGCTTTGAACTGGGCACCACACCCCTTCCACAGACTGAGCCTGCACATAACCCAGGCCATTCTTGTTTTTCACAGTAGCTGTGCTCTGTAAAGTCTTTGTGAACTCTTGAGTGAATGTTTGCAAATGATCTTTCTTACTCCTGGGGAAATACAAAGGGCAGTGCCTGAAAGCCGCTGCTCACATTTTTATCAGTCAGGCAATATATAATCTCATTCCATTCATGTAAAGTTATTTTAATAGAAACTGTTACTCAGTATAGTGGTTTGCACTGGAAACCGTAACACTCAGACCTGAGACAGGAGGATCACAAATTTAAGGCAAACCTGGGCTATATAGCAAGATCCTATCTTCAGGAGGGAGGGAGGGGGAAAGGGAAGAAGGGAAAGGAAAGCCAGAGTATTTGACTCGACTCAGCAGTGAACTTGAGCTTCTGAGATACAGGTTATTTTCTCAGTAAGGCAACTTACCGCCTTCTTATGCTTAGGCACTTTAGCATTACAATTAGGGCCATTGTAAAAGTGAAACCAGCAAAAACACAAAACGGGAGACCCAGCAGTAAGCAGACTGTGAAAAGAACTTGTTTACATGCCAACGCTGAAACAAGCTAGCCAGTGCTTTTTTCTAGCTCAGCTGGGAATACACACATTGAACAACTTTTTTAAAAAACCTCTCTGCACATGTCTGTGGTTTGGCCTGACAAACGTCATCAAGTGCACAGATTTGCAAGAATGTATGAAGGATGAGGATGGGTTTCAGGAAGCCTTGCTGAGCCTGGGTAATTGTACTCTCACACACTACAGACCATTATACACAGAAAAGTGTATAATGTGCTTCTGTGACGCCGGGTAGTTACTTCTGTTGACCAAAATAAATGCACTTCCACTTTCTGCACCTCACCTGCCATGCTCCAACCTGAGAGGTGAGCAGACATCAAGAGATTTCCAACCAAATACATCATCTTTTCCCCTGGAACACAAACCAAAATCTACTCCTACTGGCTCTGGTAGAAAAGGAGGGTACTGCTGAGTGTGCTGGTGTATATCATCTGTGAGTTCAAGGCCAGCCTGGTCCACATATCAACTTCCAGGGCAGACAGGGCTTCTCGAGGGGGAAAAAGAGCAGGGCAGGGCACTTAAGCACATACAAGAAGCAACCTTTAGGGATCACCTAAGTGCCAGGGTCACGACCAGGCCACCATGAACAGGACTGACACAAAACAGAAGCAGTTGCATTTTGCACATGTCTCCATCTCTGTTTCTGTGCTGTACTTTCTGCTTCTCTCAGCAGACAGGCTTCCTCTGCTTTCTCTGGTTTTCCTGCACCTTCGTAACATTGGCTCTTGTGTGGTTTTGGCTTCCGTGGCACTGACTCTAGCCAGACTCTACAAGGCCTGTGCACCGCACACCTGTCATGTTGCCCTGTCTCTCACAGCTCCCATTTCTTTTCACAGATGAACTGACTGCACCTCTGGCTCCAGTGTTGGCCTCGAGCCAGGCGTGCTCCACGGCTCTCTCCTGGGAGGCTGACGTGGTCTGGTTATCCTCCGTCACTTCTGTCATTGCTCTGTGTATCTTTCTGCTGCCTCATGGCTTTGTTTGCTCAGACCGTGTTTATTCATGGTTTCTGCTTACTCATGACTGCTGACTGCTGACTGCTTCTTCACGCACATTTTTTTTCCTGTTTCTCTAGTTCAGATGCTCAAAAGAAACATCTCTTCAGCACAGTTAATCACTACTTATTTGGGTAGAACTTTTTTACCAGGACACCTTCTACTGTATTGATCCACTGTCCCTAGGTAAGGGTCAACCACTGCCCCCAAAGCAGGGAGTAGAACTGGAGGGCCGGAGGACGCATGCGGTGCGTGGCCGGAGATGTCCGAGAACTTCTTCAACAAGCTAGTTACCCGAATCCTTCTCTTTGAAAAATTCATTCTCTCACTCTGCATGTGGAGGGAGTCAGGAAAGTAACAGGGCAGATACTGACAGGGAGGAGGAGAGGGCAGAGGGAAAAACAGAGAGACCACTGAAACAGATGTGTATGGGGGTTGGTTTAAATGTCAGCTTGCCACCATATAAAATCACCTGAGCACAGAGCCTCACTTGAAAATTACCTTCATTGCCTTAACTGATATGAGCAGCATGTTTTGGTAGCAGCCTGGATAAGAAAGAACACAGAACAAGAGTGATGATTAACCTCCCGATGGGTTGGCCTTCCCGTTGCTGCTGCCTGGTCCTTCACTGATGTTAGAAACAGCATTTCCAGGTTTCTGGTGTGGACTGTGGACCAGTGGCTCTTCAGGATCCCTCCAGGTTTTTGTCTGCACATTGGGATTGCTGTTTCTCAGCCTCTCAGTTATAAGACAACTGTTGTAAGTTTGTTTTACTCATTTTTATTTTTATTAATTACAGTTTATTCCCTTTGTATCCCCCCTGTACCTCCCTTCCTCCTCCCCTCCCAATCCCACCCTCCCAGGCCTGATAAGGGAGGTCCTCCTCCCCTTCCCTCTGACCCTAGTCTATCAGGTCTCATCAGGAGTGGCTGCATTGTCTTCTTCTGTGGCCTGGTAAGGCTGCTTCCCCCTCAGGGGGAGGTGATCAAAGAGCAGGCCAATCAGTCCATGTCAGAGACAGTCCCTGTCCCCGTGTTATAAGTTTTTTGAAGGCATTGTATCACATTATATAAAAATATAATGTGATCTAAAATGGGAAGAAAGGTACAGTTTGGGAAGAAGAACTGGACTAGCCAATATGCACAGTTAGACGAAGATGGGGAATCAATATACTGTATAATGCCATATGTATATCCAAACACTACAGTGAAACCCACCTCTTTGCATACTTTGTACTTTAAAATGTAACTTTTTTAAACCTGAGTTACACAGTGTTTGTTACTCTTCTGGTTCACTTTCAGTAATTTCACATTTTAATCATTTTACTATATTCAATAGTAAATGTAAAAGAGAACAGAGACTTTATTTAAATTAACAATTGGGAGCTACAGAGGTGGCTCAGTGATTAAGAGCACCAACTGATCTTCCAGAGAAGGCAGGTTCAATTCCAAGCACGCACATGGCAGCTTACAACCATGTGTAACTCCAGTTCCAAGGATTCTGACACCTGGCTTCCTGCAACAGGCAGGAGAATGTGGTGTGCAGACATGCATGAAGGCAAAGCACCTATGCACATAAAATAGTTAAAAATGTAAATAAATTTATTTTTAAGATGCTTTTCAATTTTAGAAATGTTAAGATGTGCAAAAGTATGCTCTCCAAACTAGGTGATAGATTGATAGACAGACAGATCTACAGTGCTGAGGGTCACACTCACAGTTTTAAGCATGCTAACCAGCCCCTATACGATGAAAAAAACCACCCCCAGCCGAAGGATATGCATATTTGCTTGTGTGATTATGTATCGTACAGAAAACCCTTGGGAGGAAAGAACCCAGTCTTAGCATTTTTATCTATCCATCTTCTCATATTTTTTTTTGTAGTAAGCACACACTGCTAATGTAGTTTCAAAGTACAGCACACTTTACAGCGTTGTTCAAAACCCCAGCCGCTGACTGAAAATCCGCAACCAGTCCTCCAGTCATTAGTCACGTCAGCCTTCACTATTAGAGAAAGCAACAGCGCCCAAGGAAACCGGACAGCCGTAGCCATTTGAAATGAGAGCTGGTGAAAACAAAGGCCCGCAGTGCTCCGTCTTTGGTGTCAGGGACATGCGTTTAGTTCCTACACGGGTCAGTTAACTTGGCTTACTGACAGAGGGAAATGGTGAAGATACACCACCACCACCTGGCTCAAGGACAAGCGCTGTCAGGCACTGTCCACAGGAGACACAAACATGTGGAAGGAGGCGGGCAGTGAAACGCCAGCTCTGCTGAGCACTGCTGCTCTCGCTGGACAACTGCTCTTTCAAGAGGTCACCAGGAAACACAGCTTTTAAAATTGCTGCTGCCATGTTATCATCAGTAGCCAGAGGTGAAGGTGTAAAAGGCAATTCCTTTTCCAATGAAGACTCCAAATTAAATATTAATCAAATATTTTGGAGCCAACTTAGCAAGAAACTATTAAGAAAACTCCAAAACCATAATGACACACTGAAGGAACTCAGACTAGATGGACAGCAGTCACAACGCATGACTGGGAAGACTAAGCAACTTCAAAAACATGGGGTGTAGAAGGGAAAGAGGGAGGGAGGGAGGGAAAGAAGGAGGGAGAGACAGAGGAGAGGAAGGACATAAAGGTAGGAGTGGGAATATCTGGACAGAAAGGAAGGGGCATAAGGTCAAGGGTACTTAGGGAAGGAATATAATCACAGCACACAGCATACAAGTATGGAATAGTAAAACAAGTTGAAAAAGAAAAGAAGAGCTAGTTCAATTCAAGGATCTATTCTGATCATTCTGTAGAAGGAAGATGTTGAGAAAAAGTCGTGGCCGAAGCCCACTCAGAGGTAAGTGGTATCTGCTCCAAGAACGGAACTGAGACAGATGGAGACAGCAGAGGATATTTCAAAGATACCAAGAAGTGACTGTTGAGAGAGCTGCTCACTCAGAAGTCTGGAGAGTCCTGCTGGATCACATTAAGCCACTTGGGAGAAAATATCATCTAAAATAGCTTTAATGTAGGCTTTGATTTTTTTTAAACCTCCTTTATTTGAGGTTCCTAAGTGTCTCTACCTCCCTTCTAAACCCCCAACCCTAGGTAGAAGAGAAAGGACAGTAGAGACAGGGGACATAGACCTCTTTTAGATTTAGTTCCTTGGGGAGATTACACTCTTCCTTGTCAGGATATCTAGCACTCCAGCAAACCAGCAAATCAGCAATCCATCAATAAGGACCAGCAGAAGCAGGGGCAGCAGCAACCTCCTTGAAGTGTTCTCCTAAGTACTTCTCTCTAGGAGTGTCTCTTTTTTTTTTCTCTCTCTCTCTGTTTCTCACTCTCTGTCTCTCTCTCTCTGCCTCTTTCTCTCCCTCGCTGTCTCTCTCTCAGTTCCTATTTATACCTTCAGAGTCCAAACAAGGATGTTTTTCTGCTGACAAAAACCACACCCCCTGCACGAGGCAGTTGCCATTTCCAGCAGACAAGCATCTCCCCAGGTTGTTATCAGTTGTGGATTCCTGCATCCCACACTTGGGATTATAACAAAAACATATTTATATAACATAACCAAAACTTCCACTACATCTTAATGTGATGTAGTTCCCAACCTTTCCCTTATTACTATTATTTTCTAATAAATAACTTGCAATTTAACAGTTAATATTTTAATTTTTCCCATTTTATTTAAAGAGTTTTTCTTTTCATAAGCAAAGAAGGAACAGGTGCTAACTGTGGCCTTAATATATGTTAGAACAGGTAAATGAAAAAATATTAATGTCATCTGTACTCCAACCACCCACATTAACCACTGTCAAATTTTTTCTTTCTGTATCTTTCTTTGATAGTCATGTGACTGTGACCATGTACATACACTTTTGAATCAAATGCACTCCAATTATGCAAGGCGAAATAAGAGGAAAATAATTTGACACACTTTATACTGTATGCTTCAAAAATTTAAGAGGCACTAGTTTAAAATCTATTTTTATTTGAAGACTAATTTTTTGAGTATTCATTATAAAATATGGAAGGTAATACAATGATCTTCTATTCCTAACAGATAATATGCTATCAATTTTAGAGAGACTCAAGCTGTAGCTTATTAGCGATAGGGCATTTGCCTAGAAAACATGAGGTCCAGAATTCAATTCCCAGCACCTCCTGACACGCATAAATATAAATTTAATATGCATAACCATTTAAGGAAATCGTGAAAATCATGAATTCAAGACCAAGTTGGTTTTATGCTGTAAAACAAAATAAACTATTTAATTTAAAAGGAAATTATTGTAACTGTTTTTTCTCAAATGAGGGAATGAGATGAAAACTATTTCCAACCCTTTCTAGCTCTTACAGAACTTTTGCTGGCTGGTTCAACTCTTCTGTTCCCATGAAAACTCCTCTCCAAGCTGACTAATTCAAACTGACTTCTCTTTGCTTCTGACTGAATTGCTCTGCCTAGACAAACTAATTTGGCAACATGTTTTAATCTTCTGACTCCTTCTTATTCTCTGGCTTGTTCTGTCTTTACCTTGTTTTCTCTGCAACCTGTCTCTGTAAAACTGTTGTTAAAAAACAAAAACAAAAACAAAAACAAAACACCTCCTTTCCTTGTACTGTTCTTAAATAGCCTCTTTTCTGTCCTGTTGCTGTGAGAGTTGAGCATATCCTATCTCTATCCATCTGTCAAATCTTTCTCTGATTCATCACTTTGTCTGTTCCTCAATTAAACATCACTTTCAAACTTAGCTGCTTCCTTCTACCAACTAACCTTACCTTCATTGTTTCAGATTAAAGGTGTGTGCTAAGTATTCTGTATTCCAGCCAGATCATACTGTAATAGAGAGCATGTCTGCATTCCAGCTGGATCACATAGACCTAGAAGGTTATTGGATGTGATCCCTTCCCAGAGAAGCCATGTTGCTGGATTAAAACTCCTCTATAAATTATAAGTGAAGAACAGTGGAATGAGGAACCACTGGTAATAGATGGACAAAGTACACTGTGTACACTGCAGGAAGGTGTGACAAGAATTCGAAAGGTCATTGTTCTCTAAAGAGACAGCCAAAAGACATACAAAACAGATTGTTTTAAAAGCTGGAAATATTATCATCCTCACTAATTAAGTAGACAGAATTTGAAGTAACAGTGAGGTGAGTGTTCACTCTACCATCCAATGTCAAGTGAGAAAGTCCCCTGCCAGCCTTATCCTGAACAATAAGGCACTTGAGCACTGTGGAGTGCCGTAAGTCAGCATGGCCACTCTGAAAGGCAAAAATCAGATAATTCCATCTTAGGGAAAATGAAAGAAAACTATTTTAAAATGACTTTTATAGCTGTGACATGTACTGTAGTGAAAACTGTACATAGGCAAAATTACTCCAAAGTGAGGGCATAAATCATCCTGGAAACATTAATGTTACTATGGTAAAGTAGCAACTTGCCAATAAAAATAATAAAAGCTACATATTATGTACTAATGCAAAGTGAAAAAACAAATTAAAATGCCTCTTGATTAGGACCATGTAAACGTGATACCTACACAGTAAAAATTGAAAACGGAGGCAAGGAGTATCTTAGAAATAACATGTATTTGATGACAAAGATGGTCTTCATTTCTTTGATCTATTTAGAAATAATTTTTGCTATTAAATAAACATGAAACTAATATGCACATAGTGTGAGAAAATGAATAAATCCCTGAAAGAAATCCAAGAAGGGCCTGAAGAGATGACTCAGTGGTTAAGAGCACTGTCTGCTCTTCCAAAGGACCCAGGTTCAATTCCCAGCACCCACATGGCAGCTCACAACTATCTATAATGCTCATTCCAAGGGATCTGACACTGTCACAATAATGAACATAAAATAAAGTTAAATTAAAAAGAAAAACAATATTTAAAAAAAAAAAGAAATCCAGGACTGGAGAGGTGGCTCAGAGGTTAAGAGCACTGGCTTTTCTTCCAGAGGTCCTGAGTTCAATTCCCAGCACCCACGTGGTGGCTTACAACCATCTATAATAAGATCTGGTGTCTTCTTCTGGTGTGCAGGTGAACATGCAGATAGAATATTATATACATAATAAATAAAATATTTTAAAAATCCAAAAAAACAAATATAACTGTCAAAATCTGAAAGTGGAAATAGAATCAATAAAGAAAACACAAATGGATGGGATTCTGGAAATGAAAAATTTAGGAATTTGAATAGGAATTACAGGGGAATGTTTCAATAAAGTGTAGTGTTCTTCCTTTCTTTCCTAGCTCCCGGAATAATGACTCATGAGACTCAAAATACTATTTACAGATACCTAGGCCACACAGCTAGGCTCTTCTCTGATTAGCTCATAACTTAAAATGTCCCATTTTACTAATCTACATTTTGCCATGTAACTGGTTACCTGTGCTCAGATACTAATCGTTTGTTTTTCTCACATCTTGCCAGCTTAATTTCAACTCCCCACCCTCCCACCTCACCCCACCCCCACCCCATGCCTGATTCTATGCCAGAATTCCTCTGCCTATAGGATGTTCCACCTTATAATTCCTGCCTCAGCTATAAGCCATAGTTGTTGTTTTTTTTTAATTCACATGTGTTGCCTCCATACACTACACAAGGGAAAGCTTCACCAGCAGAATACAAGAGAGAGGAGAGAGAATCTCGGGCATTGAAGATACAACAGAAGAAATGGATATATTGGTCAAAGAATGTTAAATCTAAAAAACTCCTGACATAAAACATCCAGGAAGGGGTTGGAGAGATGGCTCTGTAGCTAAAAGCACTGTCTGCTCTTCAAAAGGACCTGGGTTCAGTTCCCTGCACCCATATGGCAGCTCACAACTGTCTGTATCGCCAACTCCGAGAGATCTGACACTTTCACATAAAATAAAAATTAAATAAATTATTTTTAAAAATCCAGAAAATCTGGGACACTCTGAAAAGACCAAACCTAAGAATAATAAAAATAGAGGAAGGAGAAAAATCCCTAATTAAGGCCCAGAAAATATTTTTAACAAAATTATAAAAGAAAATTTTTCTAACCTAAAGAAGGAGATGCCTATTAAAGTATAAGAAGCATACAGAACACCAACTATATTGGACCAGAGAAAAAAGTTACCTCATCACATAATAATCAAAACACTAAACATACAGTGCAAAAAAGAATATTAAAAGCTGGAAAAGTGAAAAAAAAAAAGTAACATGTAAAGCCAGACCCATTAGAATTATATCTTAATTCTCAACGGAGACTTCAAAAGCTAGAAGGGCCTGGACAAGTATGCTGCAGACTCTAGGAGACCACTAAAGCCATCCCAGACTACTACACTCAGCAAAACTTTTAATCACTGTAGATGGAGAAAATAAGATAGTCCATGATAAACTCAAATTTAAACAATATCTATCTACAAACCCAGACCTACAGAAAGTACTAGAAGAGAAACTATAACATAAGGAGGTTAATTACACCCATAAAAACAGAAAATAAATCATCTCACACCAGCAAAATCACATCACCACCAACAACAACAACAAAATAACATGTGTAAAAGTAAGTTTTATTTGCCAAATTTAGCTGTCATGTTGAAGGCTTACAGCCTCCATCTACTAACTAGACCTAGTCCTTGAAGCTTCTAGCCTCCACGCAATCTAATCTAGGCCTAGAGTGTTTTCAGCCTTTCAGTGTTATTCAGAGTTACATCTGAATAAGCTGTCCTTTCTAGCTCTCTCTGAATTCTAGTTGGCTGGTTCAATTTAGCTATTCTGGCTTAAAACTCCTCTCCAAGCTGACTTACTCAAACTGGCTTCTCTCGGCTTGGGAGTGAATTGCTCTGTCTGGCCTCATAGCACTTTGACAATATGTTCTAATCTTTTGCCTCTTTCTCATTCTCTGGCTCAATCTGCCTTCACCTGTGTCTAGCTTTTTCTCTCTTCAACCTGTCTCTGTAAAACTCTCCCAGTAAAACTGTTCTCTTTCTCTCTGTGTGCTGCTCTCTCTTAAGTAGCCTCTTTCCCCTGTGTTTGTTAGAGTTGTATATATCCTATTCTGACAGATCTTTCTCGGATTCATCAGTTTGTCTGCCTCTCAATTAGACAACACTTTCAAACATGGGTACTTCCTTCTACAAAATAACTTTACCTTTTAAAGGGAATTAAAGGTGTGTACTAAGGATGTATCTGAGTTACAGCCAGATCACACAGAGGTCTTTGAACATAGAGAAGCTGTGTTGCTGGATTAAAATTCCTCTACAAACAGGAATCAACAGTCATTGGTCACTGATATTTCTCAGTACAGTATCAGTGGTTTCATATTCTGCAATAAAAAGACACAGATTAACAGAATGGATGCAAAAACAGGATCCATCCTTCTGCTGCATTCAAGAAACACACCTCTTTTTCACATGTCCTGAGCCAGCCCGCAGGACTCCCTGCAGCAGTGGCTGAGGTGCAGAGTCTAGAGCTGTTTCGGCAAGTCACGGCTGGACAAGCTTTTAGAAAGATTCTTCTGCTCTTTGACCGACTATTAGTTGAAAGGAGTGCCACCAAAACTATAACCAAAGGCATTATGCTTCCAGAAAAGTCTCAAGGAGAAGTATTGCAAGCAACAGTAGTGGCTGTGAGATCAGGCACAAAAGGAAAGGGTGGAGAGATTCAACCTGTCAGTGTGAAGGTTGGAGACAAAGTTCTTCTCCCAGAGTATGGAGGCACCAATGTACTTGCAGACGACAGGGATTATTTCTTATTTAGAGACAGTGACAGTCCTGGAAAGTATGTGGACTGAAATCACTGTTGAAATGGTGTCACATGAAGCTGTCCATTCCACCGATATTTTGAACTATTTCATCATGTAAATAATTTCATTGCCTCCCTTTTATAATAAACTGATGATGCCTAAAGAAGTGAAACACACACACACACACACACACACACACACCTCAACATCAACATCAAGGAGAGACATCAACTCAGGGTAAAGGATTGGAAAAATATATTACAAGCAAATGGACCTGAGAAGCAAACTGATGAAGCCATTTTAATATCAAACAAAATAGACTTCAAAACAAAACTATTCAAAGGGGAGAGGGAAGGACACTGTATATTCATCAAAGGAAAAATCCACTGAAATGGCATTTCAATTCTTAACATCTATGCCCCAAACACAAGGGCACACAAGCTTGTTTCTATTTTGTGGGGTGATTTGAGGAGTGTTAACATTAACACTTCTTGAAAGTCTGTTAGAATTCTGCACTAAAACTGTCTGGCCCTGGGCTTTTTGGAAGTGGCTTTGTCCCTTCCTTTGCCTTCCTCTTTTCTTCTTTCTTCTCCTCCTCTCCCCTTCAGCAAATTTCTTTCCTGGCAACTTAGAGTTATTTCTTAAGTATGTATAGACACACACACACACACACACACACACACACACACACACACGTCTTAGTGTTTGTTTGAGACAGGGCCTCATGAAGCCCAAGCTGACCTCAAGCTCCCTATGTGGTAAAGGCTCACCTTGAGCTCCTGACCCTCCTTCCTCCACCTCCCACAAGCAGATGTGCTAAGATGGCAGATGTGCACCAAGATGCCTGACTCAAGGTGGCACTTTTAAAGACAATTGCCCATGCACTGACTTCTCTGCATCTTTTGTACCTAGGTACAGCACCATTTCTCTGACATTACTTGAAACATTTGTTTCTTTAGTCAGTTTTCCGTTGCTCCATCAGAAAGGTCTGAGATGGATTTATTAAAGAGAGGTTTACTGTGGTTTGTGGCTCTGGAGGCCAGGAAGTCTGGCTCAGAGATTGGGGAATGAAAATGGAGTTATGTAGAAATTTGCATGCTGGGAGATGGGCTTCCCAGTGCTTCAGGCCCTGTCTCCTATAGTCTTCAACCTACAGAAAGATGGAGGCTGCGTTGACAAACCCATAAGCAAAAACTTTCTCTGACAGTGAAACTGACCTGGTCTAAGGCAAGAACCTTTCAAATAATGGCAGTTGATGGATGCTTCCCCAAAATGGCAGACCGTCCCCTCCAACTTGCTGTTGAAGATAAAAGCTGCCTCAGCAGAGCTTGTTTGCACCGCCGAGTTCGAGACGTTTAACCCGGCTGTGGGCCACACTCTGGGTTGCCACACAGCCTCTCTGCCCTCACACGCTTTCGTGTTGAGAAGAAGTGGCCCCAAAGGACGTTGTGCAGGAAGTGGGAATCCTCAGACCTTCCGACTTTCCCCAAATAAAGGAGAGCTTAGGAAGCAGCTGAAGTCATCGCATTACAAAGTTCCTGTCACAAACCATGAGAAAACACTGAAAAACTTGTCATTTAGTTGGATCAAAAGTTTCACTCTCAGGTCCTCTATACAAACCTCCCAAGTAGCAGGTTTGGATTTTCAATGAATTTTAGTTTATTACTATTTAACTTCCTTTGTGTATATTTGAGTTTCACGTAATGTACTCCTCCACTTCCATTGCCTCTTCTGTGAATAAAAAAATAAAAGAATGGAATAAAAAAGAACAGAACACCATTTACCGCAAACTAAAGATGAGTGGATATCAGGGAACATTTAGAGAACCAGAAAAGGCTTTAGAAAAATAAAAGTATAGCCAGGAATGGTGCCTCATGCCTTTAGTCCCAGCGTACAGGAGATAACCAGAGCTACATAATGAGACCCCTTCTCAAAAAAAAAAAAATTAAGAAATGAAAGGATGATAGCAGAAAAATTAAAATTAATAGAATTAGAAGAATCCCTGGGGCAGGGAGGAGTAGAGGCAAGTAAAGTAGACTGTCAGTGTGTGAGGTTTACAGAATAGGAAGCTCTGGAAGAAAGAAGTCGGGAGTTGTGAACACTCTAAAAAACAGGAAAAATAATTAAAGTGTGTTGGCAGGAGTTTAAAATTCAATACAAGAACTAGAAGACACAAGTTGGGGACTCACTTAGGAAATCTTGGGCAGGAGGCCTTCCAGCCAAAGACTGGTGCAGAAGGAATCCACAAGAGAATTTTTAAAAAGAAATTAAGAAAAAAAAGGAACTCTCAGACAGCTGGATAACTGAGTGGAAACCAACTGTGTCCAACCAGAGCTGGACCAGTGAAGGAGTCCACACTAACATCCAAGAGCAACGTCTGTGAGAGGCTGGGCTGAATAATGCTGGCAGAGGCCTTAGGGAGAAATTCCTGCATGAAAACAGAAGTTTAAAAAAGTTAGCCGGAAGGAAAGAAAAATGATTGTTGTCATATATGAAATGAACAGAAGGTAGTTACCTTTGAATTTTTTTTTTTCCATATTCTTAGTAGTCTAAGCACTGAAAATAGGGTTAAGCACAATTAGGATATAATGAGAAGGTAAGGATGTGTTATTAATGGTGGTATAAAAACCAATTTTTTTTTTTTTTCTGGCAAGGGCCTGCACAGGTCTGGGTCTGATGAGGTCCCAGGCACAAGGCTCCACCCCAACGCAGAAGCTATTACCAATCGATAACCTCTCACCAATAAAAAACGGAGTGTCACTAGGTATACAAATCAGTCTGGAGCGTGTTTGGAGGTTCTAGCAGGGGAGCACAGCTACTCCTACCCTTGACTCCTTCGGTCAAGGGTCCTCCTTCGGTCCTCCTATATTGGGGGAAGGTCATCCTCTTCGATTGACTGAGCACGCAGCTTCAGGAGCTGTGAGCGGTGAGAGAGGAAGGGGTCACCAGCTTAGCCAGCCAGAGCAGCCAAATCATCCCTGGTGGATCAGTGGGGTGACAGATGTGGCAGCCAGATGGCCCTCATCCCACAAACCGTTCTTAAGGCCAGGCCCCCCGGGCGGTAGATGGCCAACACAATACAAAGGCAGTGGGGATTTTGGAGGATCTTTGTCTCAGTAATGCTTCATTGCTGTTTTTGTCTTTTTGTTGTTGCTGTTTTGGTTTTCCTTACAGGTCCTTCGTGTGGATATTGTGATGTCCAATTTTGTGTTGTTATGGGATTTCTATGTCTGTAAATGTTTATGTGTGTGTGTTTATGTGTTCATTGAGCTTGTTTTACATTTATTTTTTTTAAATCACTTTACAGCCTGATCCCCACCTCCTCTCTCCTCTCCTCCCATTCACACCCCCACTCTCCCCACCCCCTCTCTCCTCAGAGAAGGGGAGGCCTCACCCTGGCACCTCAGGTCACAACAGAACTAAGTGTATCATTTCCCACTGAGGCATGATACGGGAGCCCAGCTAAGGGAAAGGGATCCAAAGAAAGGCAACAGAGTGAGAGACAGCCTCTACTCTCGTTGACAGGGAACCCACATGATGACCAAGCTGCACATCTGCTACATGTGTGTAGGGGATCTAGGTCCAGCCCAAGCACGCTCTTTGGTTGGTGGTTTAGTCTCTGTGAGCCCCCATAGGCCCAGGTGAATTGACTCTGAGGTCTTCTTGTGATGTCCTTGACTCCTCCAGCTCCCTCAATCCTTCCTCCCACTCTTCCACAAGACTCCCCAAGATTGGTCTATTGTTTTGTCTGTGGGTCTCTGCATCTGTTTCCATCAGCTGCTGGATGAAGCCTCTCAGAAAACAGTATACTGGATTCTGTCTGCAAGCATAGTAGGGTGTCCTTAATAGTGTCAGGGGTTGACTATCTCCCATGGGGTGGGTCTCAAGTTGGGCCAGTGATTGGTTTGCCATTCCTTCAATCTCTGTTCCATCTTTATCCCTACACTTCTTGTAGGTGAGACAAATTTTAGGTTGAAGATTTTATGGGTAGGTTGGCGTCTCCTCCCTCCACTGGAAGTCCCACCTGATTACATGAAGTGGTAAATTCAGTCCCATATTCCTGCCCCTCTGCCCCCCCCCCCGCTGCTAGGAAATGGGACCTCATGAAACTGAAAAGCTTCTGCAACACAAAGGACACTATCAGTAGGACAAAACAGCAGCCTTTAGAATGGGAAAAGGTCTTTACCAACTCTACATCCGACAGAAGGCTAACACGCAAAATACATAAAGAACTCAAAAAATTAAACACAAACAAACCAAATAACCTGATTTTTAAAAATGAGGCACAGAGCTAAACAAAGAATTCTCAGCAGAGGAATTTCTAGTGGCCAAGAAGCAGTTAAAGCAATGTTCAATGTCTTTAGTTTTCAGGGAAATGCAAATCAAAATGACTCTGAGATTCCATCTAACACCCATCAGAATGGCTAAGATCAAAAACTGAAGTGACAGCACATGCTTGTAAATATGAGGAAGAACCAAGTCTTAACCTGATTAAGAAATCAAGAGATAATCTGATAGTGCAAAGTCAAAAGAAAAAGGAGAAGAAAAAGCAGCTAAAGTTGTGGCAAGAGTTGGCTGTGTGGGACAGAGTCAGAGGTGGGACCAATGAGCCACTGTCTTGTTGTTATTAAAACCTCATAGTTGGCTTCTAATTATGTGCTTATACGAAGTTTGTTTGTTAGTTAAAAACTCAGGCTGTGGGAAATAAGAGAGACGAAAACACTAGGGTAGAAAATACAAAGCTAAATGAGGAGTGATCCCGGGTCTCTGGTACATTGCTGCCATTGGGAAGCTAAATTTCAGTTCTGAGCTTGTAGCAGCCAGCAGAAAGTGGGAAATGTAATCATCTGTACAGTTTCACAGTGTCCAAGAGACAAAAACAAACCACTTACTCAGGAGAAACAGATCTATTTGTGGTACTGAGGCTTAGAGACAGTTTTCCCGTCTGTCCACCTAAGGGGACGCCATGTGACATCCCCAACCACATCCTCAACCTGCCTTCAATAAATGCAGTGGTGCCCGAGAGCTACTGCTTCTCCTGTCTCTCAGCATAGGCCATTGCAGAGTGCCAGCACCACGCCCACTGACAGCAGTTCTGAGAGAACATAAAAACATGTTCATGGTAAAGCCTAGTGGTTAGAGGGCAGACCCCTCTTCCAAATATCTCTCCAACAAATTACTTAACCACTCTGTCTATATTCCGTGCCCTTATCT